TGCGAACCAGGCGCTACTCACCGGCGGGCAGCGGTGTGCAAGAGCCACAAAAGCTACCTTGAGCGGGGGTGGAGCCCCGGCCGCCGCAGCCGGCGCCGCCGGCTCCTCCGCGGCCCCAGCCCCCGCCCCCGCCCCCGCCGGGGCGGGGGGGGGCAGCCCCCCCTTGAGGATGCCGTACGCCAGCGCGACGGCCGTCCCTTCGTCCATGACCATCGGCATGGGCACCCCGGCGATGCTCGCCGCGTCGAGCACGGCCCTCTTCTGCCTCAGCGAGAAGTACGACGGCACCGACGCCACCACGCACGACGATGACGGCGACGACGAAGCCGTTGCCGTTGCCGCCGCCGCCGCCGCCACCGGCCCGTCCCCCTTACCGGACGCGTCCCGGGCGACCACCCCGGCGCAGTGCCGGAGGAGGTAGGAGACGACCTCGCTGCCGCCGAGCTCGAGCTCCCGCCCCATGTGGCGCACCACGGCCCGCAGGCCGCCACCGCCCCCGGTGCCTTCTGCTGGGCCGGCGGAGCTTCCATCCCCTCTGCCGGCGCGGGTCTCGCAGAAGAAGCCGGGCTCCGACGTCACCGTTGTCGAGGAGGAGGAGGAGGAGGAGGAGGAGGAGGAGGAGCGGCGGGAATCTGTGGCGGCGGCGGCGGCGGCGGCGGCGGCCGAGGGAGAAGAACTACTGCCATCGCTGGTGCTGGCGGCATCCCCCTCGTCTTGCTTGGCATCGTCGTCGCCGTCGTCGCCGCTGCTGAGAAGGGACTTGAGGTGGTGCACGAGGTTGCTGGGGTCGCCCCCCGCGTGGCCCGTGGTGTGCTCGCCGATCAGGCGGTGGTCTCCGGCGAAGTACACCGCCGTCGGCGTCTGGCGGCCGCTGACGTCGTTCGCGACCACGTCCACTCCGGTGCGGCTGGCCACCGCCATCACTCTGGTTTTTTTTTTTGTGTTTTGGCCCCCACCCACCCACCCACCCAACCCCCAAAGTCAAGGACGGAGCCAGTCAGCTAGCGGAGCGGAGTGGCGGAGCGAATCCGCAAATGTGTTTGGTTGTCGTTCTTCGCTTGTTGATGGAAGTGGAGGATTGGTGCCGATAAAGTATCTAGCGTAGCGACTTGCAGAGGCCAAAGCGAACCGCTCCCGGGGGTGCCGCTTGCACGTTGAAGTACCACGCCATGCGTACAACAAGGGCAGGGAGTGCTGTGGTGGCAAAGGGTGGGCTTGTCCGCTGAGAGCCTGCAAGGTTGGGGTCTGTGCCCGCCAACCTGGTCGTTCCTAGACATTGTGTAATCGCGAACAATTCGGGAGTGCGCTGGTTCGCCCCCGCCCCCCCCCAACAGCCTACATTTTACCTCCCTGACGCGTTCTATAGGCCGTGCGCTTTGCTTCATTCCCGCGTAATAATGTTTCTTCCTCGCTTGGGGAGATCTCTCCGTCCGCGAGAAGCAGCTTGTCCCACCTTTTGGCCACTCCGAGAAACGTTTCCCCGTTGCTCTTATTCTTGGGTTTGACTGGACGAGAACTCGAGCTGTGCAAACTGGCTCTCTTCCATTTGCTCTTTCCCCTTAGCTTTTTCATGTACTGAACAAGAACTCGAGCTCTACCACTGATTCAGTGGTGAAACTGGAATTATCAGTGGTACCGCTTCAGTTCTTGTCGCGCAAAGCTGAGAGGAAAGATCAACGGAGGGAGTCAGTTTGCACAGCTTGAGTTCTTGTCAAGTACAATCTAGCCCAAGAGGAAGAGCAGCGGGAAACGCTTGTCGGAAATGGCTCAAACGTGGACGAGCTGCTGCCCGCGGACGGAGATCTATCTCCCCAAAGCGAGGAACAAACATTATTGCGTGGGAGTGAAGAAAAAACGCACGGCAAACGCAACACGTCAAGGAGGTAGGCTGTTGGGGGGGTGGCAGCGGCGAACCAACGCACGCTCCCGCGTTGCAGGTGTAACGACCTCGTATCTTTTTAGAAAGTAAACATAACCTCACAGAAAGACTACCCGTTCGATATATAACCTCAGTCGAAAGGGACGTGGTGAAGTATTTTCAGTAAGTGGATTGAAACCGACTGGAGACTTGGCTTATGTTGAGTTTGAGTGAGCCTAACACTGAGTTATCAGTGTCTTTTATCTTCGCCCGCCGCCGTTTTCATGGTGCAAGCAAGACTGGCGGAACATGTGTACAGAAAAATGCAGCAGATTGGACACCGGTGTCGTCGTGAACATCGTAAGGAGTATGCTTGCAACTGGTTGCCACCACCATAGGCAGTCTAGCCAAGATGTACATAGAAAGAGCGCAATGCTTACAGCGCTGCGGCCGCTGTTGCTGCTGCTGCTGCTGCTGCTGCTGCTGCTGCTCGCTGTTGTTTGATATATACAATACAGGCGCTCACATGTTGTCGTTACCCAGGTCCAGACCCCACACCAACGGCCTCCTTCCCGCCGGCGGCCCAGCAGCAGCAGCAGCCGAAGTCCATGTTGCCGCTGTCACAAGGACAGCGGCAAGTTTCCAAGCCATGCCACCGCTAGCTCGCTGTTGCCGTGTTCAACAGCAGTGCTGGAGCACACACAAAGCTTGTTCAAGTTCACACACAGGTTGCCGCGTGGCAACACGCAACCGCCCGTTCGTTGCGCCCGTTTCCCAGATCGAGCTCGCCGAAAAAGTGGTCTCGAGGACAATTGTTCGGGAAACTTGGCCGCAAGGCGACCACTGCACTCAAAACTCTGTAGGCCTCGTGTAACGAGGTTGAGTAGATGCCCAACAGGCGCTCGGGAGAGGCCGAGATGTGGTGGTCAACCCTGCTGGTTGCTGCTGGAGCCGGGGGGCTCCGTAGTTGGATATCCATCCATGGCGAGGGACCCCCGTGCATGCATGTCAAGGATGTCGCCCGCGCGACCGACCATCCATGCGACACAGCAGTCGATCTACCCATGGCGTCGTCTCCGCTTGACCCCTTCCTGCTGGAAAATGGCTTCGTGGTCCTTGATGGAGGGCTGGCCACAGAGCTCGAGGCACAGGTACACCGACTTCGTTGACAGATATGGCAATCTCCAAACTGTCACACATTGAAGTCCGAACACAGCCTTCTCTTCTTGCAGACATGGGCTCCTCAGGAAAGGACGTAAGTAAGATTCACGATACGTTTAGGAGGGGCCTTTCAAAGGAGCATCATGTGTTTTCCAGGCCCCTCCATGCATTTCGCTGTTGTATCCGTTGGAGAACGTGTTGACAACCTCGAGTGCTTCAACTGGTGTACTGCACTCACCTCCTGGCCTGATACTACTATTACTGCTGTGTGCTGCTGTGCGAAAGACAAGCGCAACAATACAATGGCGCAATGATGTTCGACTGAAACCGTATCCTTTGCCTCGCAAGTACCCAAGTATGACCATGCTCTTGTTTTTCTCACCATGGCACTCGCATGTCTGTACTGCCCAGGGCGCAGACCTCACGGGCGATTTGTGGTCCGCAGCTCTGCTCGCCGACAACCCGTCCATCATCCGCAACACCCACCTAGCCTATTTTCGGGCGGGCGCCGATGTCGCCACCAGCGCGAGCTACCAGGCTTCGTTCGAGGGTTTCCTGGTGAGCGGGTTAGGAATCTATACACTGAAGGTCTGTCTCCGAACTCAACGTCAATTTTCGCTCATAATCGTGTGCACGCACAGCAGCAGTTACCACGATGTCTTGCAGACAGGCCCCGCGGTGTGTCTTGCGAAGCACCGTCCGATTTCGGGCTGCTGGTAGAATATGATTGATCATGGACATCCATTCTCCGCCCTCGCGGAGCGTGTTGGTCTCGTGCGTCTTATATTCCCCTTTTTGCCCCCACGCAATTCACGACCTCTTGGGTTGGGTTGGCCGGCACAACACTCCCAGCGCAAGGGAATAGGTCCAGAGCGGGCGGAGGAGCTCCTCCTCCTGAGCGTAAGGCTGGCGGTCGAGGCGCGAGACCAGTTTTGGGCCGAGTACCAAGAAGAGCGCCCTGCCTCTCGTCCTGCCCCAACGAAGCCGCAAACCTTACGACAGCCATCACAACCAACGGCGACGGCTATAGAAGAAGAAGAGAATGCCAAACAACACCAACAGCCGGTCAGGGGGTCCGACGGACGACGACACCGACGACGACTGCGGCCGCTTGTCGCCGCCAGCCTTGGGTGCTACGGAGCGGTGCTCGCCGACGGTTCGGAGTACCGAGGGGACTACGTCGACACACCGGCGGGAAGCCTGAAGGAGTTCCACGCCAGGCGGCTAGAAATCCTGGCGAGGGCGGACGGCGTCGACATGGTCGTGTTCGAGACGGTCCCATGCCTTGCGGAAGTGCGCGCCATCCTCTCGCTGTTGCAGGCAAGAGAGAGGGGGGGGGGGGGGAGAGAGAGAGAGAGAGAGAGAGAGACACACACAGACAGACAGACAGACAGACAGACAGCTAGATAGAGGGTCAAACAGAGAGAAGGAGGGTATCGAGTTTTGGCAAAGGTATTCTGCTTGGCTCCAAATGTCGCGATCCGCCACAATCGCGTCAATGAAGCTTGGTTCGCGAGTATCCGTGACCGGCCACCTTTAAGGTCAAGAAGAGACAGAGCAGTCAGCCATGTGATAGATATCTAGATCCTGCTGGCATTTATCTGCAACAACAACGACAGCACCAGGTCACGCTTGTCGTCAGTCCCCCAAGATGCTCCGGTGCATTGTCAACCTGCACATCGGTGACGTCTGCCACATCGGTGGCACCTACTCAGGATAACAGTTTCCCTTTTACTGTCGCGGGAACCCCTCTCCTTCTCTTGCGTCTCCGGCTGAATCTATAATAGGACTTCCGCCCAAGAGTCAGCGCGGTGATCAGCGTGTCGTGCAAAGATGACCAGCATTTGAGAAGGTAAGCAATCGCAAGAGGGGGGCGTTGCTGCTCTCTTATTTGTTAGGGCATTTTCCTTCTACACCATATCCTGACAATCCGGCATCGATCGATCGCACCCTAAACTTCCCCGGACAGGTCTTATTCACCTGCTTCACGCATATGCGTCCGATGCAGCTTGTGGGCGTAATCGACAACCATCCATAGGTTGCGCACTTCACACGAAGCCACCATCATCTCCGTTACCGGTAGTCACAGCCAACACCAAGGCTGAGGCGGCGTGAGCGTTCCTCGCGGGATGAAGTTCTGCTGAAAAATGTGGCGTCGTACATATGTGGTACATGGTAGTGAGTGTTGCGAAAGTGATGTTTGGTAAATGAAGACCTCCAAGGAAGATTCGATCGTGCTTACTCCCTGCTCCCTCACCTCGCGCCACGTTTGTTCACTAAACCGATACCGTATGCCATGACAACTCCCCTGGACCGTGTTAAAAACGCTCCACGACCAAGAGGAGGTTGCGTGCGGAAACAGAATGATACGTCTACGGAACCCTCTGGACGAGTTCTTTTCTGAAATCACCCTTTGCGGTAGTGGCACTCACTTTTCTTGAGCTGTGTAGAGTTATCGAGCGGTGAGGGCGGTCTAGGGTGTGTGCAATGACCCGCGTATGATGCAGCAGTCAGCTTCTTTTTGCACACCCATTAAAGAGAAAACCATGAACCCGAAAAGCAATTAATTATACCGTGAATTTCTTTTTCTTTTTTCTTTTTTCTTTTCTATATTTTGCCAAGCTAGGGTTACCTCGCATAGAGTGCAGAGAGGCGAGCGGAGTCTCCTAGACTATCTGTCGTTGACTTTTATTGGCTTGCGGACCCTTCGGGTCCATTTTATTTCGTCTATTTGTTTTTGGGGTAAGTTAGCCTGTGACCACGGGAATCGATCCCGTCAAGTGCTAGACTAGTACGGACAGAAGAAGGTACTAGGCAGAGAGAACGGAACGGTTTTTTATGTGAAGACAACAACAACAACAATGTACCGTCCTCGAACCGCGATGACCACCTCGTACGGCCGCACCTGCCTCCCAGCGGAGAACGCCTCCACGACTTTGCTGACCTCATCTGGCGGCATGCCGAAGAGCAAGATGCCGCCGAGGGACCACCAGCGGTGGTGGCGACCACGACGACGACGACGACCCGGCCGGCGTGCGTCGCAGCCGTCGGGGTGAACTGCACATCGCCAAGCCACGCCGCGGGGACCCTGCGGGCGCTAGCGGCGGCGAGGGCGAGGCCGGATGCGCGTCACGGCGCGCCTCGGGAAACCCCGCCGTCCCGGGTCGCGCTTGTGGCGTACCCCAACAGCGGCGAAGAGTGGGACGCCAGCGTCAGGGATTGGGTGGAAGGGACCGGATTGCGTGATAGGGAGGCAGGAGGAGGAGGAGGAGCGGAGGAGTTCGGGCGCATGGCGCGGGACGAGTGGTTCGCCGCGGGCGCGACGGTAGTCGGCGGGTGTTGCAGGACTCGCCCGGCCCACGTTGCGGAGATCCGACGGGCGCTCGCTTCGGCCGCGGAAGAAGGGGTGCAGGAGGGAGAGGGGCAGCAGCGCACGGGTTGGCATCAAGAGCCGTCGTGATTTTCGGCTCTCTCTTCGATCCTAGTTGCCTGGGTTCGCTGTGTGGTTTCATTGTTGGGGCGCAGGAGGGGGAGGGGCAGCCCCCAGCTTCGCATCAACAGTCGTCGCGATTACTCCTCTTTCTTCGGGTGGGTGTAGTGTAGCCTGGGTTTGCTGTGTGGTTTTATCGTCGCGGCGTGCGCACGAGCTTTCAGCAGGGAGCCTGGCTTTTTTTGTTGGGGCCTTTGCCGGGTATCCCCGAAAGATACGAGAGATTGTAGATAGCAAAAAGGGAGAGATTGGATGAACGACGCGAGCGTCGCCAAGCATACGTTGCTATTGTATTTTGTACGTAGGTTATTACATGAAGGCCCTCTCTCTTTCTCACCCGCACGCACGCCGATCATTAATATTTTCTGTTGCCACTATCAGGAAATCGGCAAAACGAAGGTGCGGACTTTTGGGGGGGATAATGCTATGGGGACGTTCGTTTTACCCCGACTCATGTGGCGTTAGAGTGTAAGCCGTTTGTGCCTCTTATTGTAGCCAGGAGGTTCTGCCATCGACCTTCTTTCTCGACGTTTCTCTCGGTTCGATTATTGAGGAGGTCGGATAGAGAAGGGCGAATTTGCTGCGTGCACCCCTCGCGCATGTTTGGTACCTAAGTCTCATGTCGATTTTGATAAATCCACGTATGCCTTTCGAACTGCAACCAACCTCTTTCGGTTTGGGGGGGGGGGGGCGACACAGCAGCAGCAGTGCTTTGTGCAAACATCTGCTCCATCCACTGATTGATGCAGGCGTTACGAAAAATACCCCTCCCACACTTGTCTACAAGCTGGTCCACCAATCAATGCTTCGAGGACATGTATGGCGTTGTCAGCACAATCAAGCACCACCCGGGACCGTGGCGCTGTCAGAGGGTCAGCGTGATAAGGGCTAACCGCAAATCTGCTCAATAAGCCTGTAGCCAGGCATTTTTGGTTTTTTGTTTTTTGACCACGTAAAGATACTGCTGCTGTACCTACATACATAGGATAGGGTGGACAGCTGTGTCCGTCTATAATAGTCTCACGACCTCCGGTCTTAATGAGACTCTATAACTCTCAGCTTGAGTTATTTCCACGTGCGCTCAGTTTTCCACCGGCTTATCACGAGCGGCCTGCAGATGCCCCGAGATCTCTGTCCAGTTAAAGCTACTATATACAGTACGACATAACAAGTCTAAGCGCTGCGGTTGATAGGCGCTCGAGTTGTAGGTGGATGGGAAAAGGGACACTACACATTTCCATACGGGCCTTCTATTCTCCTTCTCGCGAAATCTCCTGAGTGCTAGACCGCGTGTCAACATGAAGGGCATGTTCAGCCACTGGCACTCCTAAATGAAGTGTTTGCTGAGCTATACAAATAAATGGATCCGTCAACAAGTCGACACGAGACTTTTGTAACCGTCATCTGTTGTAGGGGTTTCCACAAACCCTCGTAGCATGTTTTGGATCCAATCCAAACATGCATCCCATCTCTTGTGGGTTCAAGGACACGTCTGCTGGGCATGTAAACAGGACGCACGCTGATATTCGCCTAGATGGGTGCCCCGACAAAAACAAAGGGGGCAAGCGCTACACTTTCACGGCACACCGGTAGCGGTGGGCCGCCTGTTGACGGTGGTCAAGACAAGAGGGCAGCCGGCAAGCAAGTAGCCGGCAAGCTTCAGCGGACTCGCCGAAATCGGAGGCGAGTGAAGGGGCACCCGTGTCCGAAGCAGCATCAAAAGCAACACCACCGGCTGCTAGCACCTGTCGTTCCAGCTAGCCCTTTCAACGACTCTGCCACCTGTCGGCGTGGCGACTCGTTGTGTCAGCGGACCCTGCCCTTTCCCTCGTTGATTCGCCACAGCAGTCGCCCACACGACGATTCCGGCATGCTGCGGACGCGGCAGTCGCTTGAAAGCGGGCCGGGAGCCCTACCCAAGGGTGGCACTCACCCGACTTCACCACGCAGCTCGAAAACTAGCCACGAGGACAGCACATTTTCAGAATCGGTGGGTGGGCCTTCTCCAGTGTTGACAGCAGCAGGAAGGCCTCACAGCGGAAAAGACAACAACAACAACAACAACAACAACAGCAGTATTGACTACCATGTGCACGACCAGGAGCAGGAGGCGATACGCAGAGGGCTGGAAGAACTTCTCGCCCGTCCCCCGCCAAGCTTCGACCATGTGGCAACGGAAGACGGCGAGGGCGAGTGTGGTCTAGGTTCCTTGCTGCAACGAGGGGGGGAAGACGCAGCTTCGAGGAGTCTCCCCGAGTTGTTCCTTTCACGGGCCGGAGATCGAGGCAACGTGGACAACAGCAAACCTGGAAGCAAGCCTGGTCACCACAAAGAACGGAGGCGCGGCAGTCGCAGTAGCAACAGCAGCGTCACATCTACCCTGACCAATACGAAAGACAAAAGACGGGCGAAGAAGCCCACCCGAAGCCAGTCCGGAGGTCTCCTCCGACCAGCTCCTTCCCTGACCGTCGGCAGCGCGGCCGCCTTTGACCAACGAGATAGCGCTGCCTCTGCGGGGCCAGGTCGGACCCAAGGAACAACCGCGGCAGCCTCCTTCTCAGGAAAGGATGCCGTGCTGCTCGAGCAGGCTTTCGCCTTTGCGGAGAGGGTTGCCACGGAGGAGGGGGAGGAGGAAACGATGGGCCAACAAGCACGCCTTGGAGGTGAGGGACGAAGAAGGCCAGGGCGAGACAGAAGAGGGCAAGCTGCCACGCAACAATTCAGGGAAGATCGTCATCATCGAGAAAGATTCACGAGATCGAGTGGTGCTTCGGTGATGAGTGGCAGCAGCGGGGGAGACATGACTAGGGGGTCGATAGCCGGGGCGGGCAGGATCGAAGTGGAGGATTGGGTCCGAGGTCTGCAGGGGCCATCGTCTCAAAAAAGACAAGCCACTTGTCATCAGCAGAGCGAGCGTGGCATAAATCAGGCGCCCTCCGACGGAAGTCACTGGGCTAGCAGAGGGCGCGAAGGAAAAACAGGCGGCAGGCGGGGGATAACAGTGACCGGCAGCCGAAAACAGCTAGGCGCGGAACCTGGTGCGTTGCGGTTTGACCGCCGGCGGGAGACAAAGGAGAGCAAGAAGATGGTGGCGACGGCAGAACTGGTGGAGAGGTTCGCGGCCGGCACGGGGGTGGCGGAGTTAAGAGCAGAGCTAGAGGACAGCCAAGCCTCGATGAAGCGGTCTGCCGAAGCGATAGAGCAGGTGGCAAGCCGTTGGCATCAGCAGCGCTCTCTTTCGGCTCTGTGATGCTAGATCTGCGTGTGTGGGCCGCTTTGACCGACATTTACTGCTGTTTGACCGCACAGGCGTAGTATAGAGTCTGCTTGTTGAGAGCTGCGACGCCCATGTCTTCTTTGGTCAAACAGTCCCAACCGTTGGACGCGCTTGCTCTGTAGTCAAGGGTCCGGATTCACGTGGTCGCGTATCTTGGAGCGAAATATCGTTGGAAGGTGTCCGCCACCAACTCCTGGAGCGGCACCAGCCGCAGCAGCGGCACTTGTCGGCTGTCGCTGCCGCCCTAGCGACTGGGCTACAAGTAAAATGTGCGATTGACCTCGGTTCACGTGCATCCGTCGATCTAACTCAAAAGTTCCTTCGGCCCTCACACACGACGTGGCACTGACACACAAGAACATATGCTCTATCCGAACGGGGGAGTTTTCCCAGGTGGCTCGCGTTCCACGCCGCACCAAAAGGGAACATAGCGAGTTGCCCTTTCGTGAGAAATAGCCCCGAGTATTCTTCCGCGGCACGTGTCATCGTCGCTTTGTGAAAGAGTTGTTCAACTCGCTTCAACAGCCAACCTGTACCTCCGCGTACGCTACCGCCGTGTACTATTGTTTCAAGCCTGTGCGAGACAACTGCCGGACTCGCGGCCCTACAACGGTGTTCGATGGTTGGGGTGTTGTGGTTGTCTTCACATTCCACGCAAATGTAGCCCACCCGTAACACTTATCACATTGGCAAAATCAAACGTCCAAGCATTAATCGACTGCTGTTCCTCTTCGAAAGCGAACCACCTTCGCCACGCGTTGCACCAGTTTCTATCCTCCCGACACACAGCGGCCACAGAAACGTTCGCTACAAGGTGCAGGCAGCCTGCACACGGGCATCATAAAAAAACTCCACACTGCGTTCAATAGGGAGTACCGGTGCTATCCAACGCCTGCGCGTGCAAGTCAAGGCCCGCGTGCGCCCTCATCCAAGCTCCTTCGTAACAAATTTACGCACCCACTGCCCCCCATCTCCCCGCACCACCAAAGCATATGTAGCTTTTCCTTGTTGGGTATGACCCCGATGGCGTGCCTCGCCCCGACCCTTGCGCCCAACATTCTTCTCCCAAGAGTCCAGCAGGAAATTCGCCTGCCCAAGCTCCGCGCTACGTGGCATAAACGCTTGCATACCCACCCCTCAGGCCGTACGCAGTCCACCACGACGATGCCCAGCCAGCCAGCGTGTTGTCGTGTTGTCGTGTTGTCGTGTTGTCGAGGGCACCTGCTAAAACGAAACATGGGGCAGAGATTTTAGCTGCCCCGAATGAGAGCAGCACCGACCCAAAACGTCAGCAGGGAGACAAATGCTCCCTCCACGAGGCCCTTTTTCTGAATCCGCACAAGCGTACAAGTAGTGTGCCACCCAAGCACGATACTGTTCAGACTTGCGCTCCCACGGTGCTTCCTCCCCCCGAACGACACCAGCGGGGAGACTTCAGACACAGAGAAAGGCCTTGCGCGAACGGGACTTCTAGACACACGTGACGGCACGGGGTGACCCCCCCCCCCCCCCCCCTGCTGCGGAAATTCACGCAGACAGGGATGCAAGCTAAACGTCATCCGTTCTTGAATAAAATAAAGAAAGAAAATAACAAACAACTCGGAGATCCCTTTGCGGCACCTCCCAATCAGATGAGAAGCCCTCTTGCTGCGCCGTAGGAGGTGTGTGACTTCTGATCGTCTGTTCGTAGTCGTGCAGCGACTTTCTTGTTTTTTGTTAGAGAGCCTCGCCTTGCTTACCATTTGTCACCAACATCGCGCGCGGACGTTCACGTTCCTCCCATGAGCTGCCCCAACATGCCCATCAGCCCCCCTGGCTGAGGAGGCTTGATGCCGAAGTGCACGTCGCCTATTCGGTTCAGGAGCTGAAAGACGCCACACGGCGGCCGCAGTCCGAGCAAAAGGAGAAACACCAGAAACAGAAACGCGCACCCAAAAAGCAGCGGGAAGAGGAAGGGGGTTGCTCAGCATCCTCTTTCGTTGTCGCTTGTTTGGTGTGTCATTGAGAAAGACCTACACACCACCATGAAATGCGAAAGAGACTGCCCACCCTTCCCTCCTTGCTCTAACGATGTGGGTGCTGACTACACCAGTTCCATGCTTGCCACAGGGGCCAGGGGGGGGGGGGGGGGGTCTAAAAAAAAACCCCAAAACAAAAAAATTTTTCCCCTCTTACTGGAAAAAAAAAAACCCTTCCCCCCCCCCCC